ATAGAGGAGTGATCTCAGATAGCCAGAGTAGGACTACATGTCTAGTCATAGACAAGTCTATCTCTGACTATATAAAGAGAGACCAGTGAGAAAATAATAATATAAATATTCTGAGTTTCTTTACTAAATTCTACATTCTTTATACAGTTTCAGTTTAGCAAAATAAAATGGTGAATGAATGTTTCCTGAGTACTCACTGAGTGACAATACTCAGAAATTGTTAGTAGTACCAATATGAGTACTCATGGACGAATTATGAGTAAAGTCGTACTCATCGGATGAGTACTTTCACTAGGGTGAAATATGAATAGCAACGAATATCTCATTCTATTGTTCACTATGAAATGCTACGTGAATTAGTAAATTTCAAATCAAATTTAAGCAACAAATACTGAGTTTTTAGTTTTTTTTTTATCGACAGTATTGCGTTATAAGTTTAAAAGGTGCGTTCATGCTTTGATTTCATTCTAAAAATCAAAGACGACATCGTAGAACCTCTATCGAATCTGTTTTGTTCTTACGCATACTTGTAAATACTTGATGTTGTGAAAGAAGTAGCATTCTAATTTGTTGAGCAAAATGTGCATTCATAGGCTGCATTCCACGCAGGTTTTGATGCCCTATAAAGTGACTCATAAGTAGCTCTTGCTTAACGCTTTAATTTGCACATAAACTCAAAATAATCGCAAAAGCGTAATATTGAGAATTGTGAGGTCGCATTAGACCTCAATTCACCTTACTTTGTAGAGCATCAAAAAACCTGCATCGAATGAGAACTATGAATGCACATTTTACTCAACAAATTACAACTCTGTTACTTTCACAGCACCAGGTACTCATAAGTACTCGTACCTACTGTGTTTTTTAGAAAGAAATATCTTTTTCCATTAAGTTAACGAATTTTTGACAATATAAACAACTGGTATGATTATGAGGTACAGTAACAAGTAAAAGTATGCTGACAGTTACTATTCTGCTTTTTTAAAGCAAACTGCTAGTAACTGCTGATTCAAGGAGGATGAACGCTTTATTTTTTACTAAAACGTGTCAATCATACTTTTCCATCTTCAGAATGAACTTAAAGTGTTAACTGTCAGTAGTCACTGAAATACTTTTTTACTTGACTTTTTTTTGAAATACTTTAAATTTTTTCTGAAGAAATTCATAACTCAATCTATAGGAACATTATTTTAATTCAGAAATTTTAGGAAACATTTCACTATATATGTAAATTATTTTCTCAAAGTTTAAAAGTTATCTACTGTATGATTTCGAAAATGCATTGAGAATAAGCAGACACAAATTCAATATACATTGAAAGACAAGCTTGAAGATTTATGTATCGTCCCTTCTATCATAAAATCTGCCTTCACTGTACATTGTCGAATTATGCTAAAATGGAATGGCTATATTTTCTGTAAGAAACGATGGCAGCGCTTTAATTTATTATAGTTTGAAAATTTAAAATATACTTTTAGCTGCTACTGTAACATAACTGCCTATCGAAATTAAACTCTTGACATTGATCAGTTGAATTCATCATTTTTTCTATAAGATACGTTGTCTTTTATTTTATTTTTTAGTTTTTAATTGAACCAATAGAAACAGATGGTTAAATCAGCAGCTCTATTTATTACTTTTTTAACATTATGTTTATTAGTTAATATTGAATGTTTTGTGATACCCAATTTAGTTCAAATGGAAGAAGAACAGGAGCCAACTGTATACATACCATATTCTAACTTAAACTTTGATAGAAGAACACTTTACCACAATTTATTTCGTTTCGATTTGCCCAGAGATAAACGATTTGGAAATACAAGATATGGAAGAGATTTGGATATTCATTATCCTGTAATTAATGATAGAAATTTACAACAATTTAAACTGGTACAACCAGTACCAATTTATTAGACAGAAAAAAAAAAACTAAATATTATTTTCTTAGAAGTCTTGACAAAGTTTCCATCAATGAATTAGTTATATCTATCTCTAGTTTTTTAATATATACAAGCTAACTTTTCTGCGTTGCGATTATAATATTTATAAATTTAAGATATAAAAACGACTCTAAAATGTTAAACAACTATATTTGTGGTTAACGTTGTATTTTTAAATTCTTGAAGAATTGTATTATTTGTATTTTAACTGTGTGGAGTATCATCATTGAGATTATTTTGTTACAAATTAGTGATTTATTGATTGTGTAAAGAAAAACTCATTGACAACCTTCATATAGTCTACGAATGTAGATTGTTTTATTGAACAGTATACGATTATCTGAATATATGATATTCGTCATCATGATTTGAGAATAATGACCGTTGTCTGTAACCAATTCTTGAATGTCTATTCTTCTTATCAGTAAAAATGACATACTCAATCAACGAGTTTCAAAGAAAATTTCTACTAATTGTTACTTTTTTTTTTTTTGTTTTACTGATCTCATCACTTTATCTTTCAAAACACAATAGTTCTATGACATCAAAATTGTTGAGAATCCATAGTCTGTCATTCATATGCTAAATAGATATATATTGTATTTTTTACTTTCTCCAATGATCAATCAATATAGTCTGCTAACAGAAGTAGAGGATATATAATCAAGACCATTTTCTTTTTATTCTATATTTGTACAGATGACATAAATATGCAACAATTCGTTCTAATAGTCTTTTTGACCTTCTTATGATCGAGCATGTTCATTAAATTTTATCGATAAAATAACACCTTGTAAGCAGAGATAATAATGTGTAGGATAAGTTAAATTTTACGCTTTATTAACTTATTTTTTAGAAAACAACGAGTGAACGAAATATATTCAATTGAAATTTTAGAAAAATTTCTAGAATCAATTTTATTTTTTGTCAGTTTTTCGATAAAATGTTGTTCGTTTGTAACAGGTATCATCGTGGAACGGGATGGAATGAAAGTTTCCTCTACAGAAAAATATTTTTATCTTGTTCCTTCCCATCCTATGAAAGTTCGGAAACTTTTCATCCTATGAGATCCCGCAGGATCCCATTAAAATGTTTTTTCTCAGAAACTAGTTCTTATTAAGCGAAGTTTCTGCCGCAGTTGTTTTTCTAGTTTCCACGTATGAAACTGTTAAAATCTGCTATTTCACATTACATTATGTTACATTTATAAATCACTAGATTTTCATCGTAAAAAAAGATAAACTACTAACAAAACAAAGTAAAAAACAACAAATGATATCTGTCATTTTGAACTATTCATCTTTTCTCAAAAAATATCACGCACTAAGAGAATGAGACGAGGTTACGAACCAGGTTATGTGTTCAACTGCGTGAAATATAACAACCCAGCTGATCGGCACATGATAACTCCAGCTTAGGTTATAAATGAATCTAAAAAATCTAACAATACAACAGACTGATTTATCATGGGATGAAATTTTCGTCCCGTCCCATACATAGTTTGAAAACTTTCATCCTATTCCGTCCCGTTTTACGGGTTATTTATCTTGTCCTGCTCTGTCTCATGGTAAAAGTTTCGTCTTGCCCCATAGTATCCCATGGAATCTTATGAGAATCCCGTTCTACGACGATCCCTGGTTTGTAATTATTATATTCATTTAGAATATAGAAGAAGTAAACAATATCTTTTCGTTTACGATTCAAGTTACTTAAAATAATAGATGAATTTTGAAGAAAAATACAAATTTTTTCTAATTTAATAAATTGTTCTTATTATCATTTATTCAATCAAATAATAAAAGAATTATTTATTTTCTAACGTTTTAAGTTTGTCATCAATGACCAATGTCATCCATCAATCTATCTATTTACTAATTCGTATACAATCATTTGAATAGTCAATAAATATATAATTTATTAATCGTATAAATACAGAGAAAGGAAAAAGAAAGTGACTAGACAATAATTGATTCCTAAGATGCGTCTATACATATATATATATAAGAGAAGATAATGCATTCATTTTCTTCTAGAAAGTCTAATCAGAAAGCACCTGAAAATGAATATATCTGCTATTTTCTTCTTCATTTTTTTTCTAATTTTAAACATATTAATTCTGCAAGTCTCCCATTGTTTAAGTGAATTTTCTAATAATGTTTGCCTATAAAAACTATATCATACTGAATTGTTAAATGAGAAATATTTTTATTGTGTGATAATCACCACTTATCAATAAAAATTATATATATAATGGACGCTTTCGTATTAATAGTTTTAAAGTGAACATTTATCAGGTGCTTGCTTGTTCATGCTGACAAAACATAATAAACATCTCTTGACGATACTAGAAAAATAAATATTCCTTCATAAATAATAGAAAATGGTCTATTAGTCAATTTGATAACTACAAATCGATGAGATACATGTTTTTCTATATCAGAAAAAAAAACATGAATCTCATTTGCACTAAAAAGTGCTTAGGTGACATTTTTAAGACAAATATATATCGACGTTAAAATAATATCATTTTTTCTCTATTCTACCGTCAATTATGTGTGAATTATCCAAAAGAGTTATCAAAGTCAAACAAAAGAAAACATAAAAGTCAAATTAGTTGATGTTTAAATACCGGATGAATATGTTTGATCAGCAGTTTAAAATTCTAATAAAATGTACAACAAATTTATTTCTAGTTTTTTCCTATTTATTTACCTCTATCTGCTGACTTTCGACTCATAAAATGATTTCCTTTTTAGCATGAACAGGAAATTAGTCATAAGCAATGAAATAGAACTAATTGACCTCGATTTTTTTGTCAGAAAAGAGAGAGACGTGGTGTGCTTATGTCAACAAAATCATCATAAAAAAAAAATCGATTGAGTATGTTTACCAACTTGACTATTGAAAGATAAAGGATAACAACTGACTGCACTGTTAATTGCTAATGTACGCATACATTTCGATTAGAACTGCTGTATATAGTTGAAAGAAAAAAAGAGAAGAGAAAGAGACTGGGATCATACAGACAACAGAAACTAGGATTAAAATTCAATGTGTTAGAGAAAATTTAAATAATATATTTTGACATTAGCCAACCTTTCTTATGAGGAAAAATGTTAGATTCTCCAAATAAGAAGCGTGACTTTCAACAAAAGAAGAAATGAATCAACTCAAATACAATTTGAAACTTAAATAGTCAACACGCATAGTAATTACTACTCACGTTAATTACAACGTTTAGTCAGCAATTAAATTAAAAACAAAAAAAACAAAAAATATTGAGATTGTTAAAATATTTTGATTAAAATAGAGTTACAAGATGAGATCAATGTTCATTTTTTGTTCAATCTTCAATGAACATTATGGCTACATTTTGAAGAGATTAGACAATCCTAAATGTGCTTTCACATCTCTTTAATTGTTCACTTTTTTTATCAATAAAATTACTCCATTTATTTTCCCTCGCGTAATTTTATCAGATTTTTTATTTTTTTATTATTTGTATTCAATCTTGAACTTATCTATCTATCTGTGAAGTACATCATTTCAGATGTGTGTGTGTGTGTATGTTTAACGAAGTGATAGTCATCAACAACAAACTTCCTCTTCTTTCCTACATACATTTTCCGTATTCTTCATTCAAATCGTTATTATTATTATCATCAGATGGTGATTGGTGTTTGTATACATTTAGAAGACGAAGGGCGCTTATGGAACAATGTCTGGACTACAACATAATAATAATAATAATAATAATAATAATAATAAATAATAATACAATATACATGTCCTGATGTGTGATTAATAAATTATATTGATCCTTGTCACGATCTAACATAGCATCACTAATTTTTACCATATCATATCGAACAATGAGAGAGAATGTGTGTCAAGTAGAAAAAAAAAATCTATTACGGTCAGTTCGTACACCATTTCACCATTCGCTTTTTTTTCTAAAGATAAACATGTCATTAAAGAAATGTATGACATAAAACATGAACGATAAACAAAATTTAACTGTCAAGCTGATAAATCCGAAAATAAGTGGAAAATGTTTATGTACAGATGTATGCACAAGATGTCACAATGATTTTTGATAGCGTAAAAATATTGTCTCATTAGTTTTCTATTTGAATGTCTTCAGTATCTTAGTGATTTTTGACAAACCTTTACATCATTAATTTCTTGTTTAATGAGGGTCTCTATACACACATTGTTGCATCATTTCTTACATGAAAAAAACTGCTGTTGTGTACCATTTATCGTATGAAGATACTACCATTCATGCATCTCACAGTATTCAATAACATTTCTTTTTATAATAATCAAGTTTCTTATTCTTTTCAATATAAATAAGGAGCCGAGACGAAACGTCAGCAGTCACTATTAAGTGTGCAATTGATTCTACAAATCAAGCCAAAGGCAATCATTTATAACTACTACTATTACTACTACTACTACTATTCTTTTTTTATTATTACAGTCATTGTATCTAAAGAGAATGAAAGCGAATGTACGTGTGTAACAGTCAAGTAAATCGCATTAATTACAGAGATAGAAAGAATGAACATAGACACAATGAAAGAGAGAAAGAATGTTAAACAATGCTTTGATAAAAGGTGCGAATCTATCATTTGTCTGAATATCATAATGATAGACATCATGCCGTGTTCTGATACAAGTATTGTCTGGAAATTCGAGGAAAGAAATAACAATATAGAATACCTTACAATCTAATCTAAATTTTTAGGGAACAATACTAAAATTAAGAAATAACGATTGATGTTTCTAAATGAAACAATACAGTTTGTCTCATTCTGCTTACCTTTCTCAAAAAGAAGAGATGTATTAGACTATTAATGCTAGAGCTAGAAGTTTTAAAGTTTGACTTTAAAATTGTTGCTGTTGCTCAACTATGTATATTGAAATTATTATCCTTAACAAAAAGAGTAATGTTTTAGAGTGAAATCAAATTTGTTATAACGAGAAGTTCATGAATTATATTTCTATTAACATATTGACCTTCAAGCAAGTAAAGTTTGATTTCATGCCAATACTTTTTTTGTTTTTAAAAAACTTTGCATATCAATTTTGTGTGAGACACTAGACTGAAAAAACAACTGAAGTATTTTCTTTTTTTGAAAGTAAGATGTTAAAAAAATAGATGAATATTTTATCTTGAACGGCATACGGTATCCAAAGGCAAAGCCCATTTCATGTTGTTTTTATGAACAGATCAATTCATCTAGTTCTTGTAAAAAGCTATTAAATAGAACTAAATGTTGTTTAATCACACTATATACTGAATGATATTGCAGAAACGAATGAAATATATTCATGTATCATCGAAATTCCTTGTAGGTGTGTGTGTGTGTGTGTGTATGGCGAATAAATGGCATTGTAAAAGATAATAAAAGATTCATGAAATCTACATTTTTCTTTTCTTTTTTCTTGTTTAAAACGATATATAGCTATGTATTTGAACAAAAAAAAAAAAAAAATCGTAGTAAAATTTTTGATGGTACTTATTGTTGATATGCTTGTATAGAATAAATGAAGCAAAAAAAAGACTTTTGTGTTTCTTTTCTCTCTTGTACATCTATACTCAGTTAGAGAAAAAAAAACAAATTAGTGTCCGACACATACACACCATAATCTATAATTCTAAGAAAATCGCCACTAGCTATATTTGTCTAACGAGACCAAAAATTTTGAACGTTCTATACCTGTCTCTCTATAGTATACACTTGTGTTTATTCTTTCAATGATGCAAGAATCATCGATTTGACTCGTTTGATATTTTTTATACTTTTTGTTATTGTTAACAACAGTAACAAAAGAATTGTCTCTATTTGATACAAATAAAGTCAACATGCAAGAAATCTAAATTCTAACTATAGGTAACTGCCGTATTCAATATTTGTTAAAGCAGGTAATATATTCATTGATTAAATTAAAAAAAAAATTATAGATCTGAAATTGATTACGAATCATTATAGAATTTTGCAGGATAAATTCTCAAACTTTTTTAACTTCTTTTTTTTATTTATTTTTTATTATAGAGGTAATGGCTTGTCCTGGTCAACTTGACCAATATGGTATTTGGAATAATGGTTTCGATTGTCTACCAATTAATGGTCGTCCACGTATATGTTGTCAATCCGAAAGTAAAAAAGAATGTTGCTTTGTTGATCAACAAAGATCGGATGTGAACGATATTGATAGTGATGCAGTTCGATCCGATCGTATTTTATTATTATCGTCCTCCACACTATCATCGATTTCACATAAAACTGATAGTTCATATAATTTAGTGATGATCGGTATTGGAATTACCGTTTGTCTACTCGTTATTTGTCTTGTTATCATTATTTATCTATTAAAACGTAAATGTACTTCGTTACATTCGAGAGATTCGCGACAAAATTCTGATGAAAGTCGATTTTCTGGTAGCAGTAAATGTTCAGATAATTATTCCGATTATTGGAATAAAACAAATATTCCACCGACAGAATGGACATTAACAAAATTATGCAATGAAAATATTGGACCAACATCCTACAACTTTTATAGTGACAATTAGACGTTGAATTGAAATCAAGATTGTATAAAATATGAAAATTAGTCGAACCAATGTACTTACTGTCTTTTCTTTTACGATGTCCTTATTAGAGATTCGCACGGGCCAAAAATTTCAGACACGGCCCGATTCGATGGAAGTTTCCAGGCCAAGTCCGGTTAGAAACGACCGAACATTAAATGTATCTAACCCGGCCCGATCACTTCTGAAATGATCCGATCCGACCGGTCTTGAAAATTTTCTTGATAAAATGGCCTTCTTCGTCTCTTATGTTATCCAAAAAACGTCCTTGATTCGGCCCGATCGGACACGACAAAAATACTTTTCAAACCGAGCCCGATACGGTCTAATTACTTTGCACAATTTTCTAGCCCGGCCCGTGCTGATCTCTGGTCCTTATTTATTGTCTTCTACGTTCTTCACATTATATTGTGTCAGATTTCTAGCCATATCTAATAATTTATTCATTGTTTTTATCTATAAAAGATTTTCACTATGATATATTTCGAGTAAATAGACAAAACTTGAAATGGATGACTAATTTATTACTGGGCACACAGTTAGGTGATCATGTTTCTTAGCACCAGTATCTATTCTCATTAGACACCCTTCTTGTTGATTAACTTTATATTGCCAGACATATAAGGGAAGAAAATTGAGCGCAAGTAAAAAAGATTAGACAAGTCAAGATGTCCAAAACATTGCCTGTAATAAAATAAATGAGTCATATATTATACAAGATCTCAAGTATTTATCTGGCTACTAGATACATCAGGTCGGTAGACATTTTTTTTCTTTTCTTTTTGTTTAGCACGTTTTCACAAACATTAGGAATAAGTTATATTCGATGCTTTTTGTGGCGAAAACATGGATATTAATTTATTGTAGTTTTGTGAACATAGAATAGAAAAATGTTTGTTGCAGCATATAGTGGATGTCAGATTTATTAAAGTTTTTGGACGAAAAATAGTTGTTTATGATCTTCCTGAACATTGTGACTTATGATCAGGGAGACCGTCTGTCCATTATATGCGTGCAGACGCTATAAATATAACTGATGCAAAAATGCTCATATATTTCGAATAATAGCTTTGGAGAACAGTAAATATTGTGTAAAAAAAGAGTATATAAAACAGTATATAGAGTATAAAAAGTATATAAAACTTAGTTTGAACAAACTGGAAAAAGTTTGAATAGTATATGCACGAAATGTGTTCAATGTACGATTTTAAATAGCTCGCATTTACGAACTATTCACAAAATAATTGAATTAAATTAGCAAAAGAACACATACATATTAATAACATTCGATGAGTTAAAAGGCAAAATTTTTACAAACATGCTAGATTCTAATTTTTAGCTATATTTGTATTATGTAGAATATAATCTAATTTTATCGTTGTTACATGACCCAGATAAATGCTATGTTTTTAGACCGCATCGATATTACATTAGGATGAGCAGTTTCAGCGGGCTAGAAAACTATACTTTATCTCATTGTTAGTAGTCTGACAGTTAACGACATACCAAAAAAATTACACAATCAACTGTACGAGAATCAATCACGGCTGTAATTGCTAGAAAACAGAAATAGTCCGAGAGTAGATTTTCTTCTTTTCTTGAAAAAATTCTAATTTTTCAAATTATTTTTGTTATTTTAAAACACTTCTTTAATATAATCAGATAAAAATTCCATGGATTCGAAGAAAATTGGTCATTTATTGATTAATAGGATATATTAACGAACTGCTAACAATACAGTGGATTCATTCCTAGTGAATGTACTTTTGTACAAGTACTCAGGCAAGTACTTGCGGAAGTAATGTTCAGAGAACCTGCAAGTAAAAAAGGGACTTATCAAGTAAATTAACAAATATAAGTACTAAATAAGTACTTCATCAAGTATTTGGTAGGTAACTTGGTAAGCACCTGCGATATATATACAACTATCCGAAGTTCTTCCAAGTACTTGATACGCATTAAATCTAAAAATGCTTGACAAGTGCTTAACCAAGTACTTTAGAAAATTTGCAGTTACCGAATTTACAAGAAAAAGGAAAATTAATTTAGGGCTTTCCTTGTAAATTCTCTAACTTTGCAAAGAAAGGTCGTAGAGAGCTAGAAAGCGTCTCATTTTGATGCAAAATTTTCTGGCTACAATCCCAACATGTTGATAAAACATTGCTAGGGTTTCAGGGATTTCTAGAAAACTGGTTCTCCAGAGAAACGCTAGGAAAGGTCTATGGGTACAAACAGTTATCATATTCGTGATCAGCGTCCTTGATTACATATAAATTGCCAGGTTTGAACAAAATCGGAGTGCCTCACTTGGGAATGTTCCCTCGTAAGTACTTGATCTCAAGTATATTCACTAGGATTATCATCTCATGCCTGAGCTCGAAAGCGAATCGAATAATTCGACATTCGCTTCAATTCGGTTCAACCTTTAAACGAATCGAATCGAACCGAATTAGATTTAAATCTAATGGAACTAGGCAGTTTAGTTAACGAACATAGTGTTTTTGTTCATTTGCTGTCTTCTAGATTTGTGTAACAAAATTAAAAACTGTTTCCAAATTTGGCTCGTGTAAGGAAACAATATTTCTGTTTCCTTGTAGCTCAGCTGTAGTTGAACGAGAATCCAGACCGCTGGCCAGTTTGTTAACCAACGATGCTCAAGTTTAGATCCATCAACAGTCAATAATATATTATTTTTACGTTCGATAGAAAATAATAAATGGAAAAATAAATATCAATAAGATATTTCTTGTGAATGTTCTTTTGCTTTAATTCACGTTTCAAACAAAAAAAAGAGAATAAAGCTTCCATTTTGATCAAATTAAGTCGAATAGAACCGATTCAGCTTTTGAAAATATCCTTTCAAATCGAATTGAATCGAATTACATTTTCCTGATTCGTTTCGGGCTCTGTCTCATACTCATAAAACAGATGATTTTATAGAAAATCGTCAATATCAATCATTATTATCGGTATGTATAATAAATCTTTCTAACAACAAAAACTAGTGAAGTTTTTTCAAAATTTTATTCAGCTTTTGGACTGTAACCTTATCATCCCTGAGCGCTAGTAGATAATAAAAATTTGTTAGTACACTTTAATTTAGACTAGGAGTATTCTAAATCAAACTTCACTAAAAGATGTTTTCTTTTAAATTAAAATTAAATTTTTATTTTTCATTATCTAACAGAAGACAGTATGCACTTAAAATGCACATGGTGGCGAATTTTGATCCCAAAGATTAGATAGTTTTCTAAAGGTATTCTGGAAAATCATTGATCCGAACAATAGAAGACGACATAAACATGAAGGTTCAACACTTACAAGAGTAATCCCATCGTTTTGCTACAACGTGAGACGTACTCGACACGTACAACTTGTACAGGGTTCCGATGGTACTCGTTTTCCGGAAAGCCCCTTACTTTTTATTGTGGCATGTAGAAGTTGAAGAACCACATGCATCAAATATTCTCACGTTGCAATCGAAAATAAGCAGTAATCAGCCTGATGACATAGCAGAATTCATGAAAATTATTATGCTGCATTTTGGTTGCCATTTTCTATCAGAAAAAAAATTACGTATACAGTCACAAATTCGAAAAAAAACGGATATATAAACGAATGATACAGGTTTTAATACAAAAAAGAACAACCGACACAAAAAAATATACATTTAAAAATAAAGAACAACAATGAGCATGATGCACGATTATTCATATTTCCCGTTATTATTCAAGGAAAACGATAATTTTGGGCGAATACCCTTTTTTCCTAGAATTAAATTTTGTTCACTCTCTTTCTTCTTCCGTAGTTCGCCTTCAAATTTTTCTCGATCTTCGACTAGTTTTCGCTGTTCTTCGATCAACCGTGAATGCTCTTCGACCTAGAAAAAAAATATTATTTATAAAAAAAGGATTGTAGAGGGTTCTACTACTCGTAAAAGACAGATAAAAAGATCTGGATTCGTATCGGCCCTTCTTGAAAATATAGGATTTGAAAAAAGAATTTATATAGGACTTCTCTAATAATATAGGACGTCTCTTTTCACTAAACCAACACCGTTTAGTATGGTGAAAAAACACCAGAGTATCACTGAGGCCATCAAAGGCCATCTCTCTGCAGATCATCGACTGAATTGAAAATGAATATGTGTTCAAATCGATGAAAATGTCGATACAATGAAGTTTACTTCACACAAAAAAACACACAAAGGAAAAAAAATGGTTAATATTCTGTTTTGTTGTGAATATGCGAAATATATCATCCACGTATCGAAGCCATAGTAATGGTTTATTGGTAGAAAATCTGTTTAACTTAGTTTCGAGTTTTGACATAAATAGGTCTGCAAGTTTTGGTGCAAGTGATGAATCCATTGCTATTCCATCAGATTGCACGTAATTACTCATAAATCTAAATAGTACATCACAAACAGCTAATTCTACCAGTCTTTTCATTTGTTGTCGACTGAAGGGTATATCAGCTATTTTCTTTGGTTTATATATCATATCTAGTGCAATCTCAATAGATTCTTTTACTGGCGAAATTGTTTCTTTAATTTCTTTGTCTTATACTGACATTTACAGACTATATAATTAGTTATCTTTTCTTTCTATGTTCATTTTCCTGATGTTGATGTGTGAAAGATTTAGTTATCATGTACTTTGTAGCGGTTTATACTGATCATTCTCTTCCGAAAAGAGCCCTTTAGTCATACAAATACAACAGTCAACAAATAATACGTACAATACGTTCTTTGCGGAAACGAGTGGCAATGTGTGAGGAAAGTGCATGTGTCTTTTCACGATCAAATACAACTCATTTCAACATAACCCCACTTTTCCCCTCAAATATAGGAAATATAGGACGATTACGAACCCAGATAAAGACGAGATATCATCCGTCTATGCTGATTCAATTGTAATTCATTCTCTTTTCTCAGATATTTTCAAAATAGCAGTAGATCAATGTACGTACGAGACGTTTTTGTGCTTCAGTTATATTTCGTTCATTTTCTTCCACAACTTTTTCAAGTTCTTCGCGACGTTTTCTACTCTCTTCCTAAAATAAAAACAAACAAAATAGAATAAACGATTCTTCAATCCATAATAGATCATACATACCTCTTTAATAATCAATTTTTTTAACTCTTCATCTTTTCGTCGTTCCAATTCTAATAACATTAATTTTTCCATTTTTTTGTGTTCTAAATCCACTCTTCTTTTGACTTCATTTTCAATTTCATTTTTCCGTTTTTCTAATTCATCTTTAACTCGAGATTCAACTAGATCTTTTACTCGACGTTCTACTTCATCTTGAATGAGTTGTTCACGAGCTTCTTTTTGACGTCTACCAACGAAAAATAATTTATTCTTCAACTTTTATTCATTATATTTTCTAGAAAAACTTACAATAATTGCATTCGTTGCTTTTCAAGTTCAGCTAACCGTTCGAGTTCAACCTTTTTCTTTGATGTCAGATCTTGTCGTTCATCTCCACTTGAAGAATGTCTATGTGACCTATTAATAGAAAAAAAATAACGATAGATATCAAAAAGACAATAATAAATTGACAAAAAATAGAAATAATGATATTATTGTGTAAGCTTGTTAAATAACAAAACTATGTGTATTCGTACACCATTTATAATCGAAATTTTTTTTAAGAAAAAGTAGTCACAAGAAGAAAATGAGTTCTTTGTATGTGTTCAGGCAATGATTTTTTAAAAAAACATAAAATATGATGGTATGCAAATTTCAATGTATAAAATCCTTATATTCGAGTTTTACATTAAACAAAAAAATAAAGAAATACCTTTTTGTTCGTTTTCTATCAGTAGATTTTGATCTATGTCGCCGTTGATTTGATGATGAATAACGTTCTTTTGATCGTGATCTTGATTTTTTTCGACGTTTTTTTACACCTGATGACGATGTTGATGTTGAGGTAATCGTAGATTTTATTGGACTTCGACTCCGACTTTTTGATCTTCCCATTGATTGTTGCTGTTGTTTACTATTTCATAATATAAGTTCTAAATCTAAACATTTTGTTTAGTCAATTAAGAAATAAAGGAAAACATAAATTTTATCAGATAATCCTGACACGGAATTTTTCGGCGAAAAAAAGACCGAATCTTGTTTTATTTCATATTTCAATGACATAGTGAAAAAAGAATGTGATACAATTTTTTTAAATCGTTAAAAAATAACCACATAAAAATTATTATTTGATCGCCATGTTTTAATCTAAATACAAAATCAAAAAAATAATCAAATCTATATTTTTATTCAAAGATCATCGTTAGCTGATAATTTTTCTCTTAATCTGTTTACTATTGCGTTCCATTCCTTTCAATGTATTATATGTGTACGATCTTCAATCAAAATCATTTAATGGTACTCACCGATTATAGAATAGTTGTAATGAATCAAAGAATATTCGATATTCATTTCCAATATCTTTTAAAGATTATACCAAAGACAATTTATATGCCATGAATTAGAAATAGTAACAGTAGATAATATCGTTTTGATGGCAATTGAAGTTAATATTCACATTTATTATATGATCAAATTCTAATGTATCATATACCTGAAAATAAAAATAATGAGACTGCAGATTTGATCTAGGAGAACGTCGAAAAAAAATCATAAACGGTTGCAATTAAAACTACAGTTTACACAATAACCACCAAATATTTTAATAGAAAACAATAATCATTCTTAATAATAATTCTCAACAAATCAAAAGAAACAATTCATATAGATTATTGCATTTGTTTCAGAATGAATACATATAGTAAAAAGATTATTTACAAAATAGAATTTACATTATGATTATTACCTTGTTATTTGATAAATATGGACATTAAGTTTATCTCACATAATTTTGAGCCGTACTAGTTGACCATTCACTATCAATAGATCAATTTTCGCATATTTTCATTAGAACAATCTTAATCAATTGATTAATCTGAGATTCATGCGTTTTAATTATTTGTCTACCGGCTTCATCTCAAAACAAATTCTAACGATGGAATTGAAATTATATACTCAAAAACCCTGTTTTGGGCTTATTTTTCAACCCTTCCTCTCCCCTCCAGACGTACAGCCTCTTAAAACGGTGCGTACAGCTTCTTAAACTTTTTCCTTGTTTGTGATCACCTTGTTTGTGTTTTGTAAACACCACTTTCAGGGTTTTTAATCACCAGTTTCAGAGTTTACAAGCACCTAAACACATAGAAACTAACGTAGGATTTGATCTAATAAATTATAAATGTAATAAAACAAATCATAAGTAACACAATAGCTAGCAACCAATATATTTCATCGATATAAACGACCTTATCTTTACTCATTGGCGCATAGTAGAACGAAAATTTCGTTCTATTACTTATCTATATTATAGAATTGAGGTACACCATTAAACAAATTTTGAGAACTTTCACCATTTTAGCTCGATAAGGAGCTGTCCTGACAAGGTTTTTTATCACTATTACCTCTGACTCTTTCTCACAATCAATTGTTTTACATATAGCCAAAACAATGTGACTGCAGCATTCCTGTGCTCAAGAGTATCTTGAAATTTCATTCTGTTGGCTCTTTACAGCCCCTCGCCCTTCTTTGTTACAATATCTTGATTAAGACTTTTTTTTAGTACTCTTTTATCGATTTTGATCGTTCTTCATGCATTTGAACATGTTCTGGATGTGTCCTTATTTGTAAAATCGTTACTAAAATATGATACAGACTCCAGCCACGACCAAGTTGAAATTGACTGATTAAACAAAACGGAGACAGAATGCGGCATTATAACGGTCTACGGCGAAGACAAACCATAATTGATCGTTCATCGCTATGAAATTTAGTTCATCAAAACGATATATATCTCCGTATAAAAATATATATATCTACATAATCTGATTTCGATGATACTGCTCTATTTTAAAATGTGTTGTTCAACGAGAAACCAACTAAAATACTCTTAATGCTCTGCTTTTGAAAAACTGCAGCGACTCAATGCACATACTTATATGTCATTGGTTTGTTCATAAAAATTAGAAAATCTTCCGAAAAAAAGATTTTATATATTATCGTCGTATAAGTACAAGAAATATTCGACTTACTTTTTTCTTTTTCAATTTTATATTGATAAATATTTTCCGTAATTGTCTCTATATGCCTCTAGTGAAAAACAGATAGAAAAAACAAACATTTATCGTATGTTAATAATGCTATAAAAGATTCTTACTTCTGGAACTTCAATCATTGTCAGATATTTTGAAAAATAGAACCTGAAAAGAAGATATATAAGCAGTATGATTATCAGAAATTGCACACTAAAGGTGGCCATGATAAGAGCAGTACGTATTTTCAGTGGAATCAGACTTAACTTACATCCTAGATTTCGACGAGGAGAAATCAGATACTATTGTTTGGTGAAGAATCATATCAACAAACAGCTTTTGTTTATGAAAAATAAGAAAATTAACGCACCGTGTGGTATGATATCCGGCACCAGAACGAATATTATACTTAAAACTAGCTAAAAATAACAGAGATCTGTCTAATACTTATTTCATAACTATTTATTTGAAGAGATAGTAGAGAAAAACTTATTATACTTTTTCAGCAGAAAGAATCAGAAAATAGCATTGTTTCAAGTTGGAGAAATAAATAGTAGAAATAGCGTTTAAATAAAGAAAAGATGCATAAAAGATAATCAGGTGCGAACGAAAGTTTCATAATGAAAAAAAACAACATACAACAGTCAAAAAAAGAACTTATCTAAAACCATGCAGAAAGCAGAAACTGTTAAGTGAATATATCACACAAGAAACAAGGCGTCAAGAAATCTGAACATCATTTTGAACTGATGATTAATTGTTCGAAAGTGATGAATAGTATACCACGAAAAGATAAACGTAAAAATGAATGTAACAAATATATAAAGTTAAAGTTCGTTTGTATGAAGAGGTTTAGCTGCCGGTTTTGTCTCAGCCAAACGAAATATTTCGTGATTTTCCAAAATTTCATTTCCGGATTTTCCACTCACGAAAGTATTGAAGCACATTGCTCGTGCCAATATGTCAGTAGGTGTTGTTATCCATTCAGGAGCAACGCGTTGCACAGTATGTTTAACAATAGATACAGCTACGGCCTCTAGCGGGCGAGATTCATCTCGTTCGCCCATAAGCATAGCCGGTCGATAAATTGAAAGGCGTTCAAATGCCATTTGTTGAAGAGCTTGTTCTGATTCACCCTGTAATTTTAACAATAACATATTCACTAAAATTATATGTTCGATTAAAAAAACCACGTACTTTTGTTTTGGTATACAAAAAGAATGAATTAGCGTTTGCACCTTTACTAGAGACAAGATGAAAATGTTTACAACCATTTTGTTTTGCTATTCTAAATAGAAACACACAACAAAAATATCAGAAAGTATAGATTCGTTTTGTCCAAAGTTTTATTGTTTTACCTTCCAAAATTTACAACATAATCGTAATCAATGTGACGAAAACCTTCCTGAAAAGAAAAGTCTAATTGTTATTAGAAAATGAGTAGTGCCAAAACAGACAGACTTACAGCACCAGATTTTCCTCGCGTTGTACCTAAAGCACAAAAATGAACATCAGCTCCTTGAAATGACTCTGCATAATCATCAATTTTCTCAAAATCAATTTGTCTTTGTTCCTTAGAAAAGAGAATAAATGAATATGTCATTTAGTAGCTCATTAAATGGTCTTGCCATGCTCACAGTTTTATTCGTAATTTCATCATCGTCATAATGAACCTGTCTTCGACCAACCAAAATAACTTTTTTAAACAGATTACTTTTGACCAGTTCTTTTACAAGTTCTCTACCCACGGAACCGGTGTAGCCCACTATGAGTGCTGTTGGTGAGTTAGACATCTAAAATTGATACTGCTACAAAGATGGATAATTTCTTGCAACATTCAGATTAAAATTAATAATACGTGCAACTATTTTTCATATTGGAAAAACAGATAAAAGATTGAAAGGCACAGTAACGTCTAAATTACTTACGTTCGACAAATCAGCTGATAAAATGTTTATAAATAATAATAACAATACTTGCAGAGAAATGAGAATCATTCTAAAAGTTAACATTATCTTTAATGGAGTATAGAAGAGAAACCAGTAATGCGGCCGTTAAACGAGAATAAGGAGAAAGATTTTGAAAAAAAGAATTCTCTATAAATTGTAGTTGCTTTCGATATTTGAATAGTCAAAAACGATTTTCGAGTAGAAAATAAATAAAAGCTAAGTTCATATACACATCTCATCTTATTCTGATTTAATTTCTTCGTACATCCAACTGGTGTTGCACTTTTGAAAATTTTTTTGTACATCAAACAAACTTATTAGAAACTATATCAGAATGAGTCGTACATCTGCTTGCGGGATTATAAAACAACATATGTTCCGGTGAGTCCATAATAAAGAAATTGTAGTGAAAAATGAACGTCTTCTGCATGCAGTGTAGAACGCTCACTCACCTTTTCTTTATAGAGAAAGAAAACCTTGGGTCTTACCAAAACCCAATATATCTATCTATCCATCAGACTTAGCCGATTTTATTCAAAATAGTAATTAAACCGACGAATATGAATGAGAAGCGAATAATATAAAAACAAGAAGCAAAAGGAAAAAGAAGACTTGTTGATTGGCTGCAAGAAAACAACAGCAATATGTCCACGTTTTATAAATTAACGCAAGAATATCCAAAAAACGATAGCATTGAGAGCAAAGAGAATATGTCATGGGTGTAAGAGTGTCAGGCATGTAATAATAATTAGTATATTCATATGAAAAACATTATATTTTCGAGTTAAAAATGAACATTTATCTTAATAAATATCTTAATAAAGCTATAACAAGGACATGCAAAGGCATTTTATATATATGTCTATAACATCGCTTCGCTATAACAGAAAATGTCTTTTTCTACACACATACATAGATTTAATATAGGTCATCTCTTTTTCGGTGGTAATTTTACTGATTATATTGAAAATCATAGTTGTTCACAGGAGGGAGCGTTTTATCTTGAATTTTTGAGGACATTGATTAACCTTGAATAATTCCAAAGCTTCTCTTGAAAAGGCAATAATTGCAAAAGCACACACGCGACATCTTTCAGGACTCTGTTTCTTTCGTCCAGCACACACCAATGGAAAAATACACTTCAAACAATGCATTAAAGGAAGTATTCATCATCACTATGATTCCAGGTTCCACTAAAGTGACCGACTAGCTAACTGGAGAAGGGAATGATTGCGATGTGTCTGCCATTCTTGCGGCTGGCAATTGTTACTTGACTGGCTGACCAAGCAGCAACTTTTATCTTCTATGAATTATCAGTCAGTCATTTAAGCGATTAAGAATCACCACAAACAATGTGAATGCCCAACAAACAAAAGGGAACTATCCCTTCTGTGCTTAGTTAGTCACTAAGATGACGTAATATATCACTTCCGACTTATTTTACTAGGCGTAGAAATACCTGATCCAGTGACACATTTGTCAAACGTTTTATAACTTGGCTTTGACTGGTAATCTTTCTCACACATCAAACCGCTTCGATATTTTTTTAGCACTGACCGTTCGCTCTTTTGAATGCTGAAAAGTACTATGACTGTTTGTTGTTTTTTTATGAGAGGAGCAAATAATTGGTAATATGATCAACTGTCTTCTGTATGTTAGGAAAGTTTTGTTGATTTATATGTGAATATTACTTTTGTTAAAAGCTCCTTACGTCTCTGATATTTTGGTATTCATAGCTTAGGCCGTTTGATTATAGGTTGATGTTTCTTAGCTTTGTTTTCTTTTTTTATGTTAAGTTGTTATTAGCGAAGTATGGTGGTTCCTAGTGTCAGTATCAATGTACACCTTGCCTCGATCATCTCATAAATGCGTCTTTAGTGCTTTCTCGTCGCTGTCCAAGCTGCTAAATTTCGTCTTTTGCTTGTATATATCTTTCTAGACCAGTCTAGTAATACGGTATCCAGCCATTCGTGTACAGCTGGAAGCTATTTCAGATTAGAAAAATGTTTACGTATCAAAACGTTAATTCTCTGTACATTCCTCTGCATATCACACAATAGGTGTGCAGTTTGTCAGACGACTAGAACACGGTACCTAAAACGAGCACCTTGAAACAATTCCTCTGTGAGAGTGACTATTTCGTATTTCGAGAAAATAACCATCAGATCATCCAAGTACGGTTTAGTTTTATTTAATTTGTTTTACTTAAGGAAAAGCTGATGAACGTGATATTTTTTCATAAGAAAATTGAAAATACTCCTGTTAGAAGACGTATTCGAAGAATATTGAACAGCTTGAAGTGCTTAAATAAGTTTTCAGACTATTTGAACTTATTAATATTGAAATAATATCAGAATTCGATAAAAAATTAAAACCAGCAGCAAGCCGCTCAACAGTATTAAACAATTTTACAACATATTAATGTTGAAAAATGACTTTGTTTCCTTTCACAAACCTAACTGGTGCTCTTTCTGTTCAGGGTATCTAATAGTTGAATTTTGATCCTAAACTTATTGTTCGGTTCGGAAAAGAATGCTCTACATCGTTTCTTACATGAAAAAGACTAGCGAACTGCAGGTTGCTCCATTCGAAAGAGAAGACGGAGCATCTTTCTATACACAGAAAACATTTTCAAAACAGCTTTTTCATGGATAAATAGCCTCTTCAAGATAGGATTTAAGCGAGACTCAGATTTATAGTGGTTCGAGTATGATATCGATTTTTCTTAGCTTGTATCCGGCGACTAGAGCTAATCTGACATCGCATGCAATATATGTAATTGACTGCACTGAAGGCAGTGGGAATATTTGTTTTTGAAAAATGATCCCAAAAATCTGGTTAATATGGAGGTTTACGAAAAGTAGGATTTCCTACCTGTTGATGTCTAGCGTTAAAAAATTTATAATTCATTCGAAACATATACGGTTGAAAACGTCATGATATGGTCTCCGCTAAATGTAATGTGACTATAGGATCAAAATACTAAAACAGTCTTTTTCCTGTAAGTTTTTGGTAGAAACCCTTTCTGAAAGCAGTAGGGTTCTGAAGATTTTTTTAACCCTTTCCAGCCAGCAATTTTTCAAATTGAGCAAAAAGTGTTATCAAACGGTAACATTCGGCTGGAAAGGGTTAAATACATTTATTATAAATAGAATATATAACAGCCTAAATAACCTACATTCTGAAGTTTCCAACTCTCAAGCTTGCTCCAATTTTTGTTTCCTCTTACGAATGGAGAAAACTGCAGTTCTCTAGCGTTTTTTATATAAGAAATGATGGAGAGCATTCGTTTCCAAAATAGACAATACACCAACCAGAGGTGGGCGATGGACGAGAAGCCTCGTGAAGTTCCACGATTCTTCACGGGACAGATCCCGTAAGAAAGATTTTTTAAAAGTTTGACGGAGTACGGGGCTATGACGAGGCAAGAACTTCACGACGCGTACCTTGCGAAGGACAGTTTTTCTCGTGAGCGAAAGATATTATGTTTATTTTGATCTATTTTTATAATAAGGTGATGGTTCTTCTTGTGAACTAAGATGAAACAATGAATAGTTTATGTTAGCAGACATTTTTCGGACTCAGGAGAATCGATGAGGAAATGTCAGAGAAAAATTTTATCAAGAGTGGACGGTGGACAAGGCGGTGACGGAGCAGAAAGCTTACGGGGCGTTCCCCGCGATGTATATTTATCGAAACTTGGCGAGGTACGGGACGATGACGAGGCAGAAAGTTTGCGAGGCGATTCCGCAAGGGAGCTAAAGATAGCCCATCCCTCACCTTTGACACCGGCTACTATATGGTGCAAAACTGGATGATGGCTTTTTCTTATCGATGCATCCTTGCTTCCATATTTTTTTTGTCATCGAACATTTCATTGTAAAACCCTGAATTTTTTTAATTTAAAATAATCTCCGCTGAAAAGATTGATGAATACAATTCTTTTTTTCTAATTACTCAGCGCAAACAATTTTCATTGTATAACAATCTCGATATTTTGAGTTATGGTCACAAGATTTATATTATGATAGTCAATGTAGGAAACCCTTGATGTCTCTTTTTATACGCTCTTCGTTCTATCTCAAATATTTAAAATGATAAAAATGTTGATTTTATTATATTTTAATATTTTCATGTGAATCAAACAAAACATCACAGAACACTTGAACATTTTTTGTTTCGTTCTGCGAGTGTTAAAGTATTTCTTCAAATTACAGTGTAATATAATTCTCCTTCTGTTAAGATATATTAAAAATGAACTGACTGGTAAAGAATCTGCATCAAACATTAAAATACTTGATGTACCAAGATCAACCATTTATTAGTGTTATCATGAGCACATGGTTTAAAAAGTGAGAGAATTTAACTGAAATTTCTAATAAGGAAATCGTCAAATGAACAATAAAGGGCGGAGGTCAATTTTAAGTGGAATCTGCCGCTTCCCTTCCCCCGTGTTTTTAAGTTATTTTCAATCTGATTTTGTAGAAAGAATGCTTGTGCACATTTCTCAGTATAGCCGAGCCTTAGAAACGTCCTTAAAAACCTTTTATTGTAATTTTTGTGAAAGTGTGTCAAATGTATAAAGATTTCCGAAAATATGATTTTTTCCAAAATCCGGACTAGAGATAGGATGAAGCTTGGTATAGAAAAATAGGCAATGAAAAACTTTACAAAGTGGCATATGACGCGTCCTTATTAAGCAGTTGAGCATAGAGAGAAAGCTTTTTTTGATCGACTGGTATCCAGAGTCGAAGATTTTATGATTGTTTGTCCTTTTTGCCCTATAACTGGAAGAAAATCCAACTCATGTTTGACATAGAAAAATTGTGCTTGAAAAGCTCTACAATGTACGTTAATAGCAAACTTAACAGAGTCGGGCAGCGTGGTTTGTGAATTTAGTACTAGATTTTTCTATATATCCCACCTTTGACACTGCATCTAACCGGTATAGACTTTCCTTCAAGCTCTAAGACTTGTACTTGGTGAGTTTGAATAGCCTTGAAATCGGATGGAACATAGGTAATCGACAACACTGAATCTTTCAGCAA